TTCCATCGCTTTTAGTGCAATTCCCCGGTCCCTACAGGGATGCGAACGTACACACTCGTAGGCTCCTTAAATTACTAAATATAACAGTATGGAGCTCAGGAACCACGTACCCCACTATCGCACTGCAACCCCTTAATCTTTCAACGTGCATTACACACGCTCCGCTGTAACACGAACACGTTCATGATTAATGTAAAAGTTGGCCACTGACTCAACGGTTGGGCTATCTGCATTCGTTGTACCAAATGTTCACGCACGCCGCCAGCTGTTTTACGTCGCTGTAAAACGAAGCAATATACCCCAAAACATTGTAAACAAGAATACTAGAAGGTAAAGTAAACTGCAACAAAAGAAATTAAATATTACATCATTTTTGTACTAGGCCCGGGTGTGACATACGAGTTCGGTTTGTAATCCTCTCATTCGCTCTTTCGGTGTATCCAACGACGAATCTTATCGGCGATGATACCTTCAGTGCATTCGGCGAAACTTTTCCGCATTACAGCGTCTGAAACTAATGTGTTATGCAACATCACAACTCACAACACAAATAACATTAAAATGTCTACAACTATATCCAACCGGAAGTGTTCATCGTTCTTCCGGCCCCCAGTCCGGCTGTCTTGAGACCCCAACCTACGCCAGGTTGCTTTTGATTAAAACCGAACCGGCTGACATTAGAAAATTGTCTCCCTTAATTTGGATACCGCAACTCAGGTGGATGTATTTTGCACACTGTTGAAGTGTTCCATGGCCCTTTGGACTCTTCCTGATTGAGCTTTGGTCTGCTTGTGTACCATTCGGTTAGTAGTAACACTTGTTTTGGCATGGTGTGAGGATGTATCCAAAGGTGACTGTGCACTGACACCGACACAATACTTTGTCTAATGGGCGCACTGGTCTAAGGAGAGCACCGATGTGAGCCACTGGCATCAACCATTTACCTCAGGCCACTAACATGCTTTGTTACACTGAGCATTGCTTGTACATAAACTGACTGTTGTTTAGAGTAATCAAGTTGCTTCGTTTTCTCAGCTCTAAGCACTTTGATAGTATTGCCTAGAACTAGAAATTTCGTGAACTCGTCCCATCCCTAACAGTTCTATCGGTTTGTATTTTTCTCTTGAACGAGGTGAGTTTGCACCAATCTAACTGGCTGGGTTACGATCGTCTGACTGAAGTGCACTAGCTCACTGCGAAGCAGAAAACAAGTGGATGTGAATCTGAAAGGGCCTCCATGCGAAGCATACTCGTGGGTTTGAAGATTGTAATCTGTTAGTCGAATTTGGTTTTGACTGCTCACACTGTTCCAGTGGTGCTATACAAAGTGTGCAGATTTTTCCTAACGGAAGGTTAGAGATCGACCAAGCTCCTAAGACGTCCTATGTATTTGTATTGTGTGTGCCACCATCCCGTTCGTCAAGTGTATGCTTCTCCTAGCCCGAAAGGGCGACCGGCTACCAGCAGAAGTTGAACGGCGAATGTACGCTCACCTTTTATCACTGGAAGTGACTCAGCGCTAGGGCTGTGTTATGGTCTCTAAGAAAAGCAATGGTGTACAATTTGATTCACCCGAACCACGATCGACAATGTCTTCATTACCGTCCTTGCCTCTAATTTTGGAAGAACGCCAGGCGAAAACAGACCATGACTCTAATAGTCAAGCGGTACTCAGGACCACGATAATCAGGCACCACCTGAAATGTGTACTCGATCAAGTCCCGCCGGCCTTGACGCCATTATATTGTTAACAGGGGCGGGGCAGCCAAACACCAATCTTCTGCATCTGCAATTCTAGGGTCTACGGTCGAGTTCAACTCCTTTGGGAATTTAGTCACCAATGCAGAGTTCGCGGCAATGGTCACCAGGGATGCCGCACTTAGTTTCTCTGCTGTTGCAAACATCGCCAACGCGAACAGAGCCAAACAAGAGACCATTACCATCTAGCATAAGGCCAGGACCAAAGATTACCCGACCTCAGCTAAAGACAAAAAGTGCTCCAGCAATAATTCCCTGACTGTCTAGTGTACAATGTCTTTGAACCTACCGCCATCACATTGCTGCTTGGGTTATTTAAAAACCAAGACCAGTGAAATTCATTGTGAGTTTGATACGGAAAACTCGTCACCCGTACTCTGCACACTGTGGCGAACCCTGATTTATTAGATTAGCATTGGAATCTGTCACTGTTGGTAAAACTGTCTGCAAATGAGCTACAACCCGGACGCTGTGGTTTATACATCTATTCTGAGGTCCATCAGAGCACGCGACAATAGAAAAAGAACGTTAAGGAGGGACACAGTAAGCAGGATCGTCTGAACATAATGTACCTTTAGCGCGTTTATGAACTCCCTTCCCACGATAAGTAGTAGACCGGTAACCACGATTTGAAACGGTGGCAGTTCATCCGACGAAACTTCTCGGGTGAAGCCGTTGCTCTATCGCTCTCCCTAAATTGTAGAGAATACGTTCCAAAAAGTTTAAAACTCGTTGTCTGGTCAGAGCATACAGTGACGGAAGTTTTAGAACGTTGGCGAAGCAATAGCAAAAGCCTTCTATCAGAACTTCGGTTAAAAGCTGCAGAACGCTTGCAAAGACCAGACATGGGCTTATCTGAAATGGAAAACCTACCGGCGATTACACAGAAGTTTCCAATGCCTCACTCAGATGTTGCTGTAGGTAATCGCAGGTCTGGTGTTTCTGATGTTGTATATTCATTGGATGTCATTATTACACGCTTTCGGGGGAATAGAAACATTATATCTAGAGTGCTTCCATTGCATAGAAGTAGGTTTGGAGTTTAGGTGTGAGACACGGTGCTATTTAGTGATCCGCAGGTACACACTGCACATTTTGTGTAGCACCACTGGAACAGTGTGAGCAGTCAAAACCAAATTCGACTAACAGATTACAATCTTCAAACCCACGAGTATGCTTCGCATGGAGGCCCTTTCAGATTCACATCCACTTGTTTTCTGCTTCGCAGTGAGCTAGTGCACTTCAGTCAGACGATCGGAACCCAACCAGTTAGATTGGTGCAAACTCACCTCGTTCAAGAGAAAAATACAAACCGATAGAACTGTTAGGGATGGGACGAGTACACGAAATTTCTAGTTCTAGGCAATACTATCAAAGTGCTTAGAGCTGAGAAAACGAAGCAACTTGATTACTCTAAACAACAGTC